TTGGGGTCTGTTGCTGAGATAATTACCTATACTATTTGGGGGGAGTTCCTTAGTATCATTACAGTACAATACAGCCCCAAACCCTATTCTAATCATTAAGGCGCTTAAGGCTTAGGGTTTGGTGTAGCGAAGGGGTCGGGTTGTAGTTTCACAGGGATCTCCAAAGGCTGTTCTACATTTGGGAATATGGTAGTTGTTGTTGGTGGGTTTCTGGTGTTAGGTTTAGGGGTGTAGAGCCGTACATGTTTTGGAGGCTCGAGGTTCGAATATGGGGGGTCAGGGACTAGGAAGGTTTTCTGCGGTGAGTTTTGTTCTCAATGAGTATGACTACAAGCCCGCAGTCAGAAGGTACGTATTGTGATGGCCCACCAGAAAGCTCACAACTTTCAGCAGCCAGCGTACTGCAAAGATAGCCAGTGGGTATGTGGTGCGTAGGTCTCAACATGTGAATTGAGGTTGCCATGCTTTAAGCACAGAGAGTCGGAAGGACTTTGCAAGGCTCTATAAGGGGTTCTATAAGGCTTTAGGTTCAGGTTCGCGGTCCCTAAACCCTAAACCCGAAACCCTAAAACCCTAAAACCCGAAAACCCTAAAACCCTAAACCCTAGTGCTGAAAACCCTAAACCCTAGACCCTTAAACCCTAAACCCTAAAGCCCTAAACCCTAGACCCTAAAGGCCTAATTTTTGTGAGTTCCGAGACCTTCGAGCGGCCCTCTTCCTAGCCCTGCATCACGCAGGCTCTGACAAGACCACGTCTCTTACTGTAGGCCAAATAATTAGAGGGGTCGGAATAAGTACCAATACTAGTTAGGGTTTAGGGTTTAGGGTTTAGGGTTTAAGTTTAGGGTGCCTCCTTATAACTTATGGCCCCTATGTTACCCAGACCCGAGGGCACCTGCCTTCACAGGGGAAGTTGGTTTGGGGCTCGGTATTGGCAGGGTTCAGAAAATCCCGATGACAGTCAATCTTCAAGAAAGGGGCATCTGTGAAGGGATCAGAACCCTTAACCCTACACCCTATAGGCCCTAAACCCCTTAAGCCTTGAATCCCTAGAAACCCTAAACCCCTAGTTAAACCCTACAAACTCTAAACCCTATGAGCCTATAAACCCTAAACCCTCAAACCCTATCAGCCCTAAACCCCGTAAGCCCTAAGCCCTAAACCCCTGTAGATCCCAAATCCCTAAACCATATAAGCCCGAAGCCCTATAAACCCTATAAAGCCTTAAACCCCTTAAGCCCTAAACCCCTATAAACCCTACACCCCTAAACCCTAGTAGCCCTAAACTCTATAAACCCTATAAGCCCTATAAACCCTAAACCCCTAAACCGTCCTAAACCCCCTATAAACCCTAAACCCCTTAAGCCCTAAACCCCTAAACCTGAACCCTATAAACCCTTAACCCCTATAGGCCCTAAACCCCAAACCCTAAAACCCTTAAGCCCTAAACCCCCAAACCCTAAACCCCTGAAACCCTAAAGCCCCAAACCTACAGGGGCCTCGAGGGTTTCAGATTTGTTGGACTTAGACTTATGGTTTCCGATGTCCTTAAGAGTAGATTGCAGTGAGGCTGTAGGGTTTAGGGTTCAGGGTTTAGGGTTGAGGGTTTAGGGTTTAGGGTTAGGGCTTAGAGGGTATTTTCTACAGTTGCAGAATGGGTACTTAGTTCCCTTCGGGCATGTCTGACAATGTAGAGGGGCACTCATATTACGAAATCTAGCCGACCTTATGCCGACGTACGGAGTCTCCGTACCCCTCGCAGTCCGGTCAGATTCGAAATTAGCCATGGTGTGGGTTAAGGTTTAGGGTTTTTGGCTTCAATTGTTCCGAAGTTTTGGAATCGGTTGGGTCCGTTCTTGTTCTCAATGTCAGAGCTCCCGCCGGCCCCCCGGTTTGGACGCCAAACGTCCCCTACGCAGGACTGAGAACCCGGCACAAGCCCGTCAAGCGGAGACATGTTGCTGGGAGTCGAAAAACGGCGCGCAGTACCCTACCTGTAGTCTCCATTGTAGTTCCTTTTTTTGGTTAACCAATTTTATGGTTAGGATCCTTTAATATAAATTTGGTTAACCAAAAAAAGGAACTACAATGGAGGCTATAGGTAGAGCCTCAGACATGAAGCCCGAAGGATTCCTTGGGCTCCTTGTCATGGGTTTACCAGAATCTGCCCCTATTATTCCTTCAAAACCCTAGCCCTAAACCCTAAACCCTAAACCCCTAAACCTAAACCCTAAACCCTAAACCCCTAAACCCCTAAACCCCTAAACCCTAAGCCCCTAAACCCCTAAACCCGAAGCCCCAAAACCTTGGTTCAGGGTTGACTGCTGGTTCAGCTCAGTCTCTGCACCTGCTCTTTTAGTTTCTGAAAGCGACTTTTGCCGTGTCGAATATAGGGGCCTTATCAATCAGAATAGGGGTTTTGGGGTCCTTCATAATATAATAAGGAACTCACCAAAATAATTTAGGTAATTCTTGAGGCCCCTATATTATAGCCTAAACCCTAAACCCTAAACCCTAAACCCTATAAACCCTATAAACCCTATAAACCCTAAACCCTACAAACCCTAAACCCCTATATCATGGCATCCTTTGGAAAAGGTAGACCGAAGAGCAGGATCCCAGAAGATGTGCTTTCCTCCGCAGCTGCCCTTTTAGGTTCAGCCTTGCAGGGGCTGGCGCGTATGTAGGGTTTAGGGTTTAGGGTTTAGGGGTTTAGGGTTTAGGGGTTTAGGGTTTAGGGTTGAAGGATCATGAGACTTCACAAGCGGATGAAATTCGGTGCTTACCGGAGGTTATGGAAATTAACATCGTATTGTTCAACTTATTCCCTGCACCCTAAGCCCTTTATGGACCCTTGTGTAGAGCCCCGATTGGACCCCCTTATAGAACCCTTCTGAACCCCTGTACAGAACCCCTCATCGACCCGTTTATCGAACCCGTATCTACTTTAAATCGAGGTCCCCATGGAACCCTAAACCCTAAACCCAAATCATTAACCCCCAGCCCTAAACCCAAACCCTGAACCACCAAATGGAACTCCGCCTTGCTTTCGCCCTTCTCAGCTTGCCTGTCTGCTCGGCGCACTGGTGCGAGACACGCCAGGGGGACTGCCGGATTTGGGCTCCCATTGCTTTCCCACCCTACACAGTATGGCATAGAATAATGTCGTATACTATAGGGTTGTGGGTTTGGGTTTTGGGATTGGGGGTTTAGAGTAGAGTATAGCAAATAATATGGCATCGTATAGGAAAGAGCCAGTTTTCTTCGTCGTCGTAGGTTGCAGAGCTAAAGCACGAAGATGCACAGCTCGCGGGCTTGGAATCTTCCTCTGGGAACGCCGGACAGTGGCCAGGGTGCATAGGTTTTAGTTTCATGTCCGCTCCACCAGTATCAGCCTGCACCCCCCAGACAACGCTTTCCATCAAAGGCTATAACTCATCTTCGCATCACCAGTGCTTTCAATCCAGTCCTCCTACCAGGCATGGCTTGCTCATTCCCAGGACCCCCCAATGGCCCTTTTATAGAGCCCTTATGGTCCTTAATAGTGGGTATTTGGGGGATATTAGAGGGTAGTTGGGGGGTCTAGGTACTTCCTGCATCTTCATAATGATCTTTCGCTGTTGTCGCTTCGTGTTTTGTCGTCTGGCCATAGCTTGGCGTCCCAGAAGCCGCACCCCTCCGCCAGAAGCCGGAAGCCAAGGGCTAGTAGAACCCTAAACCCCTGGTAGTTTGTAGTGCGGTTCCACTTTAGGGTTTAGGGTTTAGGGTTTAGGGGCCACTTGCTAGAGTACTGCAGATGTATTAGTACGTTATGTAGGATTTGGCTTCGGGATTAGGATGTCTGGGTGTGCTTGGGATGTGGTCTACCTATAGTCTCCATTGTAGTTCCTTTTTTTGGTTTAACCAATTACATATTACGTATTTTATAAGGTATCCCCAAAAAGGAACTACAATGGAGACTATAGGTATGGTGTTGGCCGGGAGTTGGAAGATTGTTCGGTGCAGGCTCCTCTGACAGGTCCCGATTTAAAAACCCTATAAACTCTATACACCCTATAAGCCCAATAAACCTCATCAACTCTGCTCGCCATGCAAACCCAATGTTAACCCTAGAAGCTCTATAGAACCGACAAGCCCTAACTAAGCCCTGAAGGACAGGCACAGCCTGTGGTGTGCGTCAGCGGTCGGCAATCTTCCCGTCGTGCGCCAGCTCATACAAGAGGGCGCCGGCCTGGACGTGCCTCTCCCTTGGTACCGCTTTAAAGGTTTACAAAAACCTAAACCCTATAAATCCTAAAAAAGGTTTACAAAAACCTAAACCCTAAATCCTAAACCCTAAACCCTATAAGCCCCGAACCCCGACCCCTGCACTAAGGATGGGGATGTTTGGTACAAGACGCCGCTCATTTACGCGGCTGAGACGGGCCAGATTCAGGTCTTGTCGCTCCTCTTGGAGACCTGGCTTCGTGGGTTTAGGGTTTAGGGTTTCGGGTTTAGGGTGTCGGGTTTAGGGTGTAGGGTTTAGGGTTTAGGGTCTAGGGTTGAGGGTTTAGGGTTTAGGGTTTAGGGAGTCCAGGGTTTAGGGTGCAGGGTTGCAGTTTGGGTTTAGGGTCTAGAGGGTCTGTAGGGTCTAAGGTTTAGGAGTTCACTTTGGGTTCACAGCTCAGCATTTAGTGTTCGGGCGTCTTTGGATAAAGCCACCCCGCAACCCGACCTTCTCAGAGTCTAGGACATCTTCAGGTGGGTAGCTACCAGTATAGGAGCCTTATAGAAGGTCTATATACCTTATAGCAGCCTTATAAAAGCCCTATATACCCTTAACTCCCCACCTGAACCCTAAACCCTAAACCCTAAACCCTAACCCTCTCAGAGAGGGTTCCCTTCAAAGGTCCGAGTCCGGTCGATTGCGGTGGATTCACCCATCCTTGCGAGTTCAGGGAATCAGGGATTAGGGTTTAGGGATTAAGGGTTTAGAGCTTGAGGATTTAGGCTTGAGGGTTTAGCGATTGAGGGTTTGGGGTTTAGGGTTTAGGGCTTTCAGGTTTAGGGCTGTAGGGCTTTAGAACTAAAGGTTTAGGGCTTTAGGGTTTAGGGGTTTAGGGTTTAGGGCTTTCAGGTTTAGGGCTTCAGGGTTTAGGGCTTTCAGGTTTAGGGCTTTAGGGTTTAGGGGTTTAGGGGTTTAGGATTTAGGGCTTCAGGGTTTCAGGGTTTAGGTT